ATTGACCTAATCTCTATCCTCGCCGCGCCGTCGTCTTCGAGCCACCGCGACCTCTCAGCGCCGCCTGTCCACGCCGTAGTGCCTGCGCTCTCGAGCCCTAGCCGTGTAGCAAGCTCCGCCGTGCCATCCTCTGCCTAGCCCGTGCACCACCGCACTGCCGCTCGCCCTGCACCCTGCTCCCCGACGCACCCGCATGCTCCGATGCCCTAACACCGCCACCATGCCCTGCCCGAGAGCCCGCGTCGCCACAGCTCACTCGTGCCGGGCCCAAGTGCCATCGAGCCTCTGCCCTAACGCCACCGGTGCCCTAGCCACTGCTCACCGCAACCTCTTCACCATAGTGCACCGCTGATCCACGCCATTGCAAACCCTAATCTCCAGTTGGCGACCCGGTGGTTCCCCGATCCGTTCCTCTTCTCCCCGTTTTGCCGGTTCGTCAGGTAGCAAGCCCTCGTTTCCAATTTTGTCCCTAATTGCTTGCTTCCTAGGATTTCATATATTTAGATATATTATATTTATTTGTATATCCTATCTATTCTATCGTACAGCGAGTCGGTGCCGTTGTGGTCCTATCTGCAGTTGTCAGTCAACTCGGGGCCAAGCTCGCGAGTACGGATCGAGGCCAAGCCTCAGAAGTGATACTTGGCAGTTGTTTCTTGTCAACAGCAGTTGTTCTTTTCAGATCCTTCAGATGGCTCATGTCAAGAACACCGGAGGTGGTCCAGGTGATGAGGATCTGAGGCGTCCGCCTCGCTTGCCTGCAGATCCAAAAGGCAAGGCGACAAAGAAGCTTGCAACAAAGAAGCAGAAGTATCCAGATGCAGATACAGCTAGAGCAGCCACAGTTGCAGCAGCCGCAGAGTGTGCAGAGGCAGGAGGTGGTAGGAGTGGAGTCTAGATCGTAGATCAGCTTTCACTATCAGCGAGGGCTACACTTGAGCAGGTTGAGCGCCGTGATGGTGGTCCAGTTGGGCCTCTCATGATTGGAGGACGACGTGTTGCTATTGATGAGAGTGAGCCTCAGGGGGAGTCACAGCAGCAGCCACAGCCAGCAGAGTAGACTCAGGAGGCAGAGCAGGCTGAGGAGATAGAGCAGGCACCTTAGCCATAGCTTCACCGCTCTGGTCATACCCGTGCTCTAGTCATACCGAGGCCAGAGACACAACAGAGGGGTTCTCGTCCACCGCCTAGACCACAGGGTCCGCCTCCAGTGACTCATCTAGATCTGAGGGCAGCCACGGCCAAGCAGGTGCAGTAGCTCAGATTTGTGGACTTTGAGCAGTGGTTCTCGCCGAGGAGGGATGACAGAGCTTCAGAGGGCTTCTACACCCCACTGCAGGAAGATTTTTACAATGCATATCTTAACAGTGGAGCTGTATTCAGATCTCAGAGGGTGTGCAACATTGAGTCCATAGTTGTAGTAGCTAGAGAGCATATTCGCCCCTACCTAGTGTATCTACTAAGACTGACAGATCTACTCGGACGGACCGGCTTATATGTTCCATCTTAGGTCCATGAGTTCTATGCTACTCTCTGGATTGACCCACAACACAGATACATTCATTTTGCATTCAGAGGCAGAGATTATAGGCTGATGAGCTCTAGGGTCAGGGAGATACTCAGGCTTCAGGAGCAACCCATCCGACTTCATGAGGTTTGCTATGGACAGACAGCGCCTCCCAGATGCCCTCACGGTGGTCTTGTGCCCCCTACAGATCTAGTCCGCCATTGCTTCATAGAGCCTTTCGGCGAGGGGTCGAGCAGGACACCCAGTGATCTCACTCCTACAGCTCATAAACTTGATGCTATTATGAGGAGGACCCTGCTTCCGAGGATGGGGTATCGCGAGGGCTTGACTCACATACAGTTATGGCTTCTGAACTCTCTGATGCAGCAGACTGTGTTTGATATTTAGGATCTCCTTCTATCAGAGATAGAAGATACTATTGCTGAGAGGTTCAGAGGTCACCGTCAACTGTCCTATACTCACTGGATCACATTTCTTATTCATAGGGTAGTTACAGTGAGGCCGCCTGAGATGCTAGCAGAGTACAATGGTGCTACTACAGAGTTCCCTGTATACAACATGACTTAGATGATCCGCCATAGTACACCGAGTGCACCTAGCCAGCCTCGTCGTCGTCCAGAGATGCCAGAGACTGCAGCCTAGCAGGATGAGACTATCAGGGGCATTGCAGCTACAGAGGAGGAGCAGTTAGATGCTCAGCAGGAGGGGATGGTCGAGAGCGTCCCCAGCGAGAGCTCAGATGATGACTACCGGGATATTTCTCAGATGCCTCCACAACGACATGACCATGAGGCCGGTAGCTCCAGTTCAGCTCCTCCTACCCCACAGACAGACCCCGCTCTACTTGCCATACTTGAGAGGATGAGGCAGGATCAAGCTCGCCAGACATAGGAGACCGCTGCCACTTTTGCATAGTTCCAGACATGGCAGGATGAGTTCCAGTGACAGCAGCTGGCTATGCAGCAGCAGCAGGCCATGCATCAGCAACAGCTCCTCATGCAGCAGCGGCTACTTAGGTTTATGCAGCATGTAGTGACAGCTATTGGGGCTCCACCACCACAGCCTTCGCCCCAGCTTGGTCAGACTGCCATCACTTCCATGACTCCAGCTTTACAGCCCAGTGGGCTTCAGAGTCAGGGACAGCCACCAGCACAATGTGCTTCACCTATAGAGCAGGTGTCCTAGTGGTTTGCTTCGCCAGTGCTAGCCCCGCAGTTCACACCTTTTTAGACGGGCTTCACACCGGCTCAGACTTCCTCGCTGCTAGTGCTAGAGACTACAGTGTCTAGGAGCCTTGGTGCTTCCTTCAGTGAGTTGACAGGGCAGCCTACTCCGCCATATCTACATGTCCCAGGTCCTTCCATAGTTGCACCTATTACCGGGACTATAGAGATGCTCCCTTCCTCAGTGGCATCATCAGAGCCGCCTACTACAGTCATACCAACTGCTTGCATAGTACATGCTAACATGAATATAAAAAGCACTTTTGGATACAACAGGCATGGTCCCATGTAAAATTTTGAGTATATATTACACAGATCATGTAAGTTGGATGGCTACATATCAATACCATGGGAGTAGGATTAATATAATAACCATCCATGCTGATTAATATAGATGTTTTGGCCTACCATTGTTATGAATTGGTGATTTGAATTCCATGATTTGTGGTTTTACATAACTATGGATGTATGTTTAAAACCAAATTGTTTTAATGTTATGAACTCGAGAAATAGTGATCCTACTCATACTTTGGCATATTTGAATATCGTCAGGAAAAAGACACATACTATCGTATTCTTTCATATCATCTTTCCATGTGTATTTATCTATTTAGACATGTAGTGACATGGGCTCAATCCTCGTTATGTCATTTATTTTGCAGGAATGAAACAGTTTGTTCATCTATCCAATACCAACTATTCATGGTGGCTAATATTTGTAGCACCTTTCATGATTTTGATTATTGTGTTGGAACACAGAGAGTTTGTTATCACTTCATCTTTTGAATATTGACCTGAACTATTATTATGGAAGTTGTAATGGCGATGATATTGTTGGTCAACTGTCATCAACTATGAAAGTTTTCATTGTGGTTTGTCCTTGTTGAGAAATAGTCTTAATTTGATGATTGCTCTAGCGCTTTTTATTAATTTCATGTTTAAAACCGTCTCTCATAGTTGTGCAGAAGAGCATGTATAAGTATTGGTGCTAATTAGAAGCCATAGTGAGAAAGGAGTTGGCATCAATGCTAAAAAAATGGAACCATGGGTGAATGGGTGCTGAACCTAGTAATATGAAATTAAATATTTTAAATCATCTTATCTTCTTAAATCCCGTACAAGTGAAACCCCTCCATCCCCTCAGTGACAGTGAGAGGAACATCCGAACAAAGCCTTATACTCCTACCTGGCATCTAAATTAAGGGGTAATGGATATAAAATATAACCCCCAAAGGTGAACCAATCCAGCGCCTTACGTATATTCATAAATCAACCATGAGTTGCACATCCAAAACCTTTTGAAGTTTTTCGTCTTGGCCAACTACTGAAGTAACTGTTTGGAAGACACCCTGTGTGGTGAAAGCTTTAAGGGCCTTTTGGCATGACTGCTGAGTAGCTTCAGCATCTCACACAGCTCGAGCTAAAACCCTACCAAACAACTTCGCGAGAAACAGCTGAATCTAGTTTTTACCTGTGCAAGTAAAGCCACTCTGATGTCCGTCTTTAGCAGCTTTTGTGTTTTCGAGCAACATGAATATTGGCCACAGAAACAACTAACGTTATTACAAAATAACGGTGATCTAACAATGCATCCAGCATTCAAATTTCATATATCAAACTACTTCATATCAAAACATACAATTCGAACTGTGTTAAAGATTGATTGCAGTTTCTCAACAACAAATGTGTTTAACCACACCATTGAAGGTGATTGTGCTACAAACAGGGCAGCTCAATACAGCCGCGGAAAAGAAAGACAGCCCCATCAGCGCACTATTGTCTGAGTCGTGTAAGTACAGCTCCAGTTGTTCTGCCCATGAATCTGAAAGTCACAAGGCTTCAAATTAGATAGAAGCTAGAAGCAAGCTCATCATTCCAAGAACTAATAATTTATTTACTAAAACAAAGAACAAATTCTCAGCATGAACAAGGAACGAAAGCATGAATTATCAGCAGAAAATTCAACAGCTGAAATTAAAAAATGTTTTTGCTACAGCATCAAGTATGAAGTCATCACTGCAAATGATGTGTGGACAGGCTTGAGGTCCTAAAGTTCATGGTCTCCAAAAATGGCTATAGATGTATAGGAACCACATCAATTCATCTTGGATACGCTAATGTGTTTCAACACAAGCATAAGATGGCATCATCATGCAGTACCACAGATCAGTCAAGTTAATATTGACACAATGTGAAGATAGTTAAACGAATGATAATACCTACGGTATGGAAAAACATAGAGGTAGCTATCATCTCCTCCTCCCAGCAGCAGGTGCCCGTTGTGCTCCAGGTTGGCCCTGGCCTGCAGCTTCCTCTGGTATGTTGGCAGCTGCTGTAACAGCATTCATGACAATAAGACCAAGCGGAATGATGTACATCCACTGCAAAACAAACAAGTCAGACTAAAGGAAAACGTAGAAACATACATACACACACACACACACACACACACACACAAACACGAAGATATTGAACTGAGTACAGAAGATAATTAGTGCAGTTACTCACATATTTAGCCCAGAAAGATTTCTCAGGTGGTTTCATTACTTCGCCAAGACCATTGTCAGCTTCTATTAACAGATCTGCAAATGATGGGGTTCTGCAAGCACAAAAATTTGTAAGAATTTGGAAACTTCTTTGAGACTGTTCCAGTATGGATAGATCTGTTAGGTCATGCACATGGATCCTCCCAATTTTTGCCATTGTGGAACTCAGTGGATGTTCTCACAAAAGAATAGTAGCATGACGATGTGTTTGACGCCCAGACCAAGCCATACACAGGAACAATTAGTGAGGTGCTCCTACTGTGATTAGTGCTGGAAGTTTAGCATTTCAACTATGATTAGCACTGAGGCATGTGGGAGCTTATATAGACTTGTCTTGTCCTGTGTTCTTAAGGTGGTAAAGGCGATGCAAGGTGACCCACCCCCTTCTAACCGCCTAGGCGATGCCAAAGTGATTATAAGGCGAGCCAAGTGGTGGAAGACAAAAAGAGGAAAGAATAAGGTGGGAGGAAGGATGGTGCATGACTGCATGCAGTGGCTGCTTGTCCTTGATGGTTGATCTCCCTCTTGTTCTTCCTATCTTTTCCCTCCTTCAATCCATCCTGCCCGCTTATTTTGGCATGGCAACAGGGACACCGAGGATCTGTTATTAGGGGAGGCCTTGAAAACATTGGTCTTGTCTAAGCACAAATAAAATTGTTTTTTCCATTGGATGCGCAGATTCTTGTAGTGGTGCTTCATCATTATCTCTCTTTATTTAAGCATCTATTGCCTTGTGCATGCCCTTAAATTAGATGCTGAGATTCCAGTAATGTGTTTCATCATTATCCCTCTTTAAGCATCTATTGTGCATGCCCTTAAAGAGACTTCTTAATTCAAACTATTTATATTATTAAAACATATTACCAGCTTTATAATAATCTAGTTATTTAATATTTTTGTAATCTCAAGAAAGTAGTAATTTACCTTGGTGCCTGTTCGGCAGTCTTTAGGATAGTGTAAGAGCTGAATGTCCATTTTGATGGCTGCAACAAAAATTTAAACATGCCAATATGTCACCATAAACTTGAAAACTGTTAATCACCAATGAATGCACCACAGAAGATCAAAAAAATGCTACAGTAGAGGTGTTTGTTGTAATATAGCACAGTTTGGTGAAAGATTGAACAACTCTCAACAGTGAGAAATTTGTTAGCACATTAATAGTTGTACAACCCATAAGCATTTCAACGTGCTTCAATCAAAATTAACTAATCAATGTCAACTTAAATTAACCCATTTCCAGCAATATAATATGCAGAGCCAAACCAAATCACAGTTGACATTCATTCAAAATTGAATTATTTCATCAAAGTAATTTCGAAACAATCATTTAAACCAGCCCTACTAATTAACAAAGCAAATACCTCTATCAATAACAAATAACCAGTGCAGATAACATGTTTCTTAACGTTATTTTTTTTTTTTTTTTTTTGCCATGAGGGAGAAATATGGGATTGCAGGGCAATCTATAATGTGAACATTACTAATTTCAGGATATTTAAATGTCAAAAGGCTACAAGTTATCAGGATCCATCCATCTACCAATCATTAATTACATTGAACACTCATAAATCATAATATAAATCCTGATAGAAACTAACCAATTTCATTGGCCTAGGGTATTGGCATCCACCAACAGAGCCATAATTGACTGCCAAAATATTTACACCATCCTGCAAATAAGGCAATAGCAAAGTATAATGTGAATCGCAACACCAAGGAAACTTCTATCGGTATTCTACAAAGCTAATGGAATGCAATTCTCCAAAATGGCTGCAGTATGAAAAAATAACATTTTTTCCGTTAAGCTACTTGGAATCGATGACAAGGATAGAGAAAATGTTTTTATCAAAATGGCTGCAGTATGAAAAAAATAACATTTTTTCCAAGTAGCTACTTGGAAAAGATGACAAGGATAGACAAAATGTATAGAAACTCCATGTAATCAACATGCTATGTTATCAGTACAGGTGCTAGAAAAAATGAGCACAAGGTGCACCTTCTGCTCTATAAATACTGGAGATTTGGGCAGTGCTACTGTAAAACAAAATAAAGTTAGCTAAATGCATCAACTGATGTTATTACATACATAAAGTTTCTGGGCTATCCCAAAATTTTCCATCATCATAAACAACTCTTTAAAGAGGAAGATATATGAATAGAAATAATGAAATGGAGAAAGTTACCATGTGGATAACAATGTGTTCATCCAAACTGTCACGTGGAATGCATCTCTAAGAAACATAAGAAAGTCAAGACAGTTAAGGAACTGAAAAGGATAACTCTAGAATCAGACAAATAAATCAATAGTTCTAATAATAAGATAACATCACAGTTTTTGCAATACACCAAGCAGTGGTTTTTTCTTATAACTCATTTAATTGCTTCATTTATTGATCGTTCCACAAAAAATGTACATGCTAGGTGCTAAACAAAAGGACAGTGCTTTGGGGACACTTTTAAAACATACCTTATTTTACAAGTTTCAGTTGCTACAATGATTTGAAGAACAGATAGTTGGAGTATTGGGCTTATTTTATGATCATAGTAAAGAGAAACACACTGATGAACTCTGTAGTCAACTTACAGCTTTGATTGAAGAAACAACATTATGTTTCTTTGTGGTGTCCAACACATTAGATGGCAGCCTAATTGTATAAAAGCCATCTTCCTGAAGCAGTTTCTTCAGTGACAAACAAATGCATAAGCACCAAATTAGTTGAAAAAAATAAGTCATCAAGGAAATCAGGGTAAAAACTGTGGTGAACAAGAAGTTACTTTGAATGCCACTTTATCATCCTCAGTTAAATCATTCCTTGTAAAGCGAAGCTTAGTGAGGGTCTGATCCATAAGAATAGTACAGTTAGGGAAATAGTTTTCCTCGCTTGCATTTACAGCATTTACTGTTGAAGTGAGAAACTAGATATCTAACAAATCCATGAACATAAGTCAAATAAGAAATTTAGCTCTCTTAGCTCAAATCTACAGTGAGCATAGGTGGTTGATTATTCACCAACGAAAGTGATCAAATTGGAACACTAGCTAACATAACCAAAAGTACATAGAGATCAAAGATGCACTAAGTGAAGTATCACAATTGAAAGTAAGTATAAATTGGAAGCACATAATTCACAATAAATCTTATCATATATGGTGAATAAAGTACACAAAAAAAAATAATCTACAGCAAAATGATGTACAGAATGTAGGATCGCCAAAGTTTAGCCTAATAAATGCACGTTGCATTTTGCAAAGGCAGGTTATGGCTTGCTCCTAAACTTTGTGAAATCATATTGCCAACGCCCAGTTAGGAATACACATTCTATTTTACATTTTGACTTTTGTGCAATACAGTTCAATTTAAATAAACCACTGTTGAAAGCTTCTAGATAAGCTGCTGTGATTTTGGGCCATTTGAAAATTGGGGCAGACATCAAAGTACAAAATAATGAAGCACAAAAAGTAGTGTAATAATAGGCCTTGTGCAAATATGAGCTAAAACGAGAAGGAATGATAACACGAAGGTTTTGGACAGATCAGATTTTAATTGTGTTCGGTTCTGTCAAGGGCGTACTGATCCCGGGTAGCAGGCCCTCGACTACGGAGCTCGTAGCCTCCGGCCAAGTCTTCCAGGGTGGAGGTTATACCCCTCACAGCCGCCTGGGCTTAAGCACGATAGAGAGAGAGAGAGAAGGAGATAGGTAATTGATCTTGCTTAATTCCCAATAGTCCGAGTACAATCCATATAAGGGCTAACCGGCCAACTAATTTTGGAAACAAACCCCCCTAATTTTGTGGCCTGATCTCCTCCTAGCCACTAGGATTGGCCCTGCCATCTGTGTTCGCGATAGGCAGCAAGCAAGCTGCGTCAGTGACGCCCTCTCTCTCATGGCCCGCTCGGCTGCCCTGCGGACGTCGCGCGCCCGGCGGCGTCGCGCATACGCTGTGCCCCACATGACATCTCTCCCCTCCTCGAGAAGCAGCTCGTCCTCGAGCTGGAAGAGTGGGAACCGCTCTCGGAAGGTATCGAGGTCCTCCCAAGTTGCAGAATCCGGTGGTTCGCCACGCCAATGGACAAGCAACTGGCGTACTCCGCGCGCCAGGCGGGCACGCTCCACCCGAGCAAGCTCCGGGGTCACCGCTCCATGGTGGATGGGCGGCAAGGCTGGTGTAGTCGACGGAGGCGTGCCGACGAACTTCTTCAAGACGCTAACATGAAAGACGTCGTGGATGCGCGCCTGCGGAGGAGAGCCGGTGAACCGCGGCGTCGTTGATCGGCTCCTCAGCGAAGCGGCCCGGCGTGAAGCGTGGCTTCGGCTTGCCGTGGTAGCTTGCGGAGGGAAGACATGGTCTTGCCGACGAAGTCGGCGGCCCCACTCGCCCACTTGGTAGGACAACGGGCGATGGCGGCGGTCGTAGTGGCGCTTATGCACTTATTGCGCGCTGCTCAAAGTGGTAGTGGACGTCGGCGAGGAAGGCGGCGCGCGCTCCTCCAAGTCGTGCGCTAGAGCGACCACCGAGTTTTCCCGAGCTCGTATGAGCGGAGGGTGGTAGTCACGGCCGTGACCACGCGCAAGCGGCGTCTCCGGAGTGAAGTCGGTAGGCCGTGTTGTACACGTACTCGGCCAGTGGAAGCCATGACCCTTTGTCGAGGTCGATCACCTGTGAAACACCTGAGGTACATGACGATGACGCGGTTAGCGGACTCCGTCTGGCCGTCCGACTGGGGGTGGAAGGCGGACGACATGTTTAGCTTGGTGCCCATAAGCCGCATCAACTCGCGCAAAAGCAATGATGTGAACACCGGGTCGTGATCGGAGGCGATGGGCTGATCATGCATGCCGTCGCAAGGCGCACAATGTCGGTGAAAAACGCGGGGCCACGGTCTCGGCGGTGTACTGGTGCGCCGAGGAATGAAGTGGCGATATTCTTTGAAGCGGTCGACGACGGAGAGGATCACCGATTTACCGTTTACCCGCGGCAAAGCTTCCACGAAATCGAGGCCAATGTCGGCCCAGACCGCGGTGGGAAGCTGGCGGTGAAGAGAGAGGCCGACGGGGTGGAGGTGCTCCGTCTTGTACCGGCCGGCAAGTGAGGCATTCCCGCACAAAGTCCCGCACACACCGCGCATATTGGGAAAGTGAAAGTCACGGTGAAGTCGATGCTGCGTCTGCTGGACCCCTCGTGGCCGTCGTCGTGGATAGCGACCACGATCTCCTGCGCAGCAATGGTGGCAGACGGCGGTATGTCTGACGACCCTCGAAGGTGACGAGGCCGTCTGTGATCGCCTGGCCTTGATCCGGTGCCGTGGCGAAGCTCGTCGTGCACGGCCACCACGGTGGGTCCGTGGCTTGTGCTTAAGCGGAGACAATGATGAAGTCGAATCGGGCCCAGAGACGCGCGAGATCATGCCCACCGCATGCATCCTCGGTGTCCCGCCGGGATAAGCGTCGACCACCGTGTTCGTCGTCGACCGCCTTGTACTCCATTGTGAAGTCGAAGCCAGCGACTTGCCTTGCCGAGCCAGTGATGTTGCGGGATCGTGGCGGCTGGTCGAGGAGGTACTTGAGGTGTGTAGTGGTCCGTTTTGACTTGAAGCGGCGCCTGAGCGGGTACGATGCGCCGATGGCGAATGGCGAGGGCGAGGCCGATCGGCTCCCGCTCGTGGCGGCCCGTGAGCGATGGCGAGGAGCCACCGGCCGGCCCGAAGAAAGCGATCGGGTGGCCCTCACGGATGAGCACACCGCCCGAAGCCGTCACGTGGATGCATCACACCCCACGATGAAGGGCTTGGTGAAGTCCGGAAGCGCCAAAGACCGGCCAGCGCCGAGGTCACGCCCCTTTGAGGGCGAGAAACGCTGCTGGCGTCGTCGTTCAAGAGAATCCTTCCTTCTTTAGGAGGGCGCGGTGAGGGGAAATGATGGAGCGAAGTTGTGGACGAACTTCCAGTAGTAGCTGCGAGGCCGAAGCGCGCGCCGCCGTGGCCGAAGCGAAGGTCATGCCACTCATGGATGGCTTGGACCTTGGCGGGGTCCATGGCCACGGGACGCCGAGATGATGTGGCGAGGTAGGCGACGAGTCGACGCCGAACGAGCACTTGGACCGCTTGACAAAGAGGCGGTGTTGGCGTAGGAGGGGCAGGGGACGGCGGAGATGACGCGAGATGGTCGACCCGACTCTGCAGTAAATCGAGGATGTCATCGAAGAAGACAAGGACGAACAGACGGAGGTGGGCGCGCGAAGACGTCGTTCATGGCGCTGGAGCGTCGCCGGTCGTTACCGCGGCCGAGCAGCATCACCAGGAACTCGTATAGGCCGTCATGGGTGCGGAACGCCGTTTTGTGAATGTCCCCCGACCGCATCCGCTTTTGATGGTACCCGACCGCGAGTCGAGCTTAGTGAAGAAGCGCGCCTGTGGAGCTCATCAAGAAGCTCGTTGACGACGGGAATGGGGAACGCATCTTTGACGGTGAGGCGTTCAAAAAGCGCGGTAGTCGGCGCAAGAAGCGCCGAGAACCATCCGCCTTCTTGACGAGGAGGACCGGTGGCGAAGAAGCGGAGTCGCTGCGGCGGATGATACCCCTTTGAAGCATAGCGGAGCATTGGCGCCCGGCTTCGTCCTTGTGCGTGGCCGGCATCGGTGAATGCGGGCGACGGCCACCCGCCCCGCGTCCGGCTTGAGGGTAATCTTTGTGGTCGTGGCGGCGGGGTGGTGGCGATCCCTTGGGCTCGGTGAAAAGCGTCATGACGTGGCGGTGACTCATCGAGGAGCGGCGCCGCAGCCATGGTGGAGTGGAGCTGCGGCCTTGGCGGCGATCGGCATGCCGGTCCGATGTCACAATCGCGCCTGATTGAGTGAAGCGCCATGGAGGCGGCGAAGTCCGGACCATCGCCCGAGGGTGGCCAACCAACCGAAAGTACCGAGCACCACATCGAACCTCGCAAGTGGCATGACAAAGCAGATCAATGTTGAAGGAGGTGCGGCGATGGTGGCCTGAAATTGCGGATAACCCTGAGGCCGCGACCCGCTTCGCCGTTAGCCCACGACGACGGTGAGCCGAGGTCGGGCTCCACCGAAAGGCCCCGTGCGGTCCAGCTGCCCGGCGGAGATGAAGTTGTGGGTCGAGCCGCTGTCGAGGAGAGGCGACAGTGGCGGCACCTGGCGATGACAGCAGTACGCATCGTCTTGCGCCCGCGAATAGCCACGCCCGGCGACCGCGTCTGCGAGGGGAAAGCAGGGGGCCTCCAGGTCCCCGGTCTCGGCCACAGCGTCCCCCCCGTCGTCGTCGATCTCCACGCCCTCGAGGAAGAAAATGCGCTTGCGAGAACTGTTATGGCTACGAGAATACTTTTCATTCTGATTAAAGCAGAGCCCTTGGCGACGCCGCTCGCCATCTCCTCTGGGTGAGGCTTGGTGATTACCCTCGCCACAGCCTGCTGGCAAAACCATTTGGGGAGGGAGGCCAAGTGGCTTCTGCTTGTGTATGTGAAGCCTTTGCCATTGCTTGTGAGGATGACGCCTTGTATTGGGAGCCCGAGCCGGGGAAGGCGTGGCCGGTAGGCCTCCATCAGCTCCACTTGTCTTGCCAAACTCATGGCGCCATGAGGACTCCGGGTTGTGGATCGACGATGGCATGAATTTGGTGGCGAGTCCGGTGAAGAGTGAAACGTGCTGCGGCTCGTCCAGCGGCTGCTTTCGAGGCGAGGGCCTAGAAGCGGTTGGCGTACTCCTCCACGGTCCCGTCGCGCAAGACCGTGAGCTCAAACAACGGTGCGGGGCGTAGGGGGAGGACCGAACCATGAGCTCAGCGATCCTTGAAGTTGGCCTGACGACGGTAGCGCCGCCGTCCTCCATGAGTTGGTCATACCGAGTTGCGCGACGTCGTCCAAGTGATACTGAGGCCATCCGGACGCGCTCCTCCGCCATAATGCGGTCTTTGTCGAATCGCCTCGCATTTGTTGAGGAAGAGCATCGGTGATGTCGTGCCGTCAAAGCGGGAAAATCCACCTCTTGGGCTTGGGCGGAAGATCGACGTCGCGCGTCTGGCCGGGGGGTGACCGCCCGCGTGGCGTCCCCGAGGGCGCCGACTTTTCCTTGAGGCCGCCATCTCACTTTGCATGGCGGACATGTCCGTGGTGATGGCTGCGAGCATCTTCATGGCGTCGGCAAGGGTTGGCTCGGCCATGGCCGGAGGCGAGACGCGATGGATTGGGGCGATGGTGGTCGGTGGTGGGTTGTGGCGGCGTCGGAGGAAGAGGCGCGGGTGGACGAGGATCGTCTCAGTCACGGATACCGAGTTGTCAAGGGCGTCTTGATCCTCGGGTAGCAGCCCTCGACTACGGAGCTCGTAGCCTCCGGCCAAGTCTTCAGGCGGAGGTTATACCCTCCTGACCGCTGGGCTTAAGCACGACGATAGAGAGAGAGAGAAGAAGGAGATAGGTAATTGATCTTGCTTAATTTCCAATAGTCCGAAAGTACAATCCATATAAGGGCTAACCGGCCAACTAATTTTGGAAACAAACCCCCTAATTTTGTGGCTCGATCTCCTCCTAGCCACTAGGATTGGCCACGCCATCTGTGTGTTCGCGATAGATAGACGGCAAGCTGCGTCATGCAGCGCCTCGCTCTCCCATGGCCCGCTTCGGTACGCGCTCATGCGACGTCATCGCGCCCGTGGCGTCAGCATATCGTTATGCCCACATGATGAGTTCATAAGAGGCGCAATCCGTGTACTATCCCCTCTAAAGTACAACTACAAGGCATAGAGTATACATTAGGGCGTGCCGGTCAGAGAGAGCTCCCGCTGTGCAAGGGTCTGGGAAGGAGTCAGCAGCAAGCCTTACCCTACTTTGTGAAATGCGAGGAGACCGTGACTCGAACCCGAGACCTTCCGGTCACAGGCGGTAAGACTACCGCTTGCACCAGGCCCGCCCTTCGCATAGAGTATACATTATTGTAACAAAATGATAAACAACTAGAAGATATTTAAAATTGGATATCATGTGCTTAACAGGAACAGACATGGAAGTTAATGCGTATGAGATATTTTTCATACATGCAAAAGGTTGTGATGTGCTAGGGCCATGATTAAATACAAGGTATCATCAGGATAATTCTGTTCCGAGTTTATTTATGACATATATAAAATTAAGTATATATGTAGGCAGAAGCTGCTGCTGTAATTTGATGAGTTACAGGGTAAAAATGCAGACTTAGTTAATGGTGATTCAGCAGCCCACACCAAAAATCTGTTGTATGCCCAGCCCCCCGTGTCCATTGTAATTGTTATTCTTGTAGATCTTGAAACATATGATTCGAAAAGGGGATGATGTTTTCAATGTTCCCACCTAATAAATTCCGCAATATGTAAGATAAACAAAGACATTGAACATAGTTTTGAAAATAAGTACAGAAAAGAGAAGTCAGGTGACAGCCTAATGTTTCAAGACTTTATTTCCTTATTTACACGCCAATTTACTGTCTTTAATTTAATGTCAAATATTTCTGCCCCTGGGATACTCTCCTTATAACGAAAAACCAACTCAGTTATCCACATATAAAGCAGCTTCCTCATGGTAAGGAAATGTCATTTGTCTAAATGAGAGAATGCTAAGTAATTTCCAAGCTAAACAACCTCAGGCCCATGCTCCTAGTTATTAACCACAAATTTTGTATGTCACACTAGACTAGGCTTCACAGGATATACTTGTGATTTATGATTTGGAGGCAGCATGATATACGATATTAGCGCTCTTTGATTATCATCTTATACCCTTTTCTAATTAAATAATAGTCTTTTTTTAATAGTCAGCAATATCTTGGTTGCTCTTCAAGGCAATGGATATATGTTAGGTATTTGTAAATGTAAGGTCATGCAGCCTGAAAGGCCACATAAGAAGCAAGTGACCATCCAAATGCAGAACAATCAGGAGAATACTGCGATTTCACAATTTTAGTCCATAAGTGAATAAAAGAAGCATGAAACGGGTAGTACCCTAAACAGCAGCCCTGCACTAACACTTAATAACTGGTGTACAGTTTAAATGGTTGTTTATACTATATACTATAACACACCAAGCCCAAAAAGTCAGTCTTGGTCTTTTTCTTACCGACAGAACTACAGAAGTACTCCAGTACCGGGAAAGGTCTAACTAACAGTGTGTTTGGTTTGCAGATTTGGCTCATGCAGCATGAGTTTAATTAGAATGGGTCGGTCCGGTGTTTTTTGCAGAATGAACTCACATCCTGCGGAATCACTATCACAGGAGTACTACAAGGTGACAGACGACATGAACCCATGACGCAAACCAAACAGCTCAAGGAGTTTCGGTTTCTAGATCAGATAATTCTAGATGGAGACATTCCACTGACCAAACACGCTGCAAGCCGCCGAGAGTACTGCTAGGAAACAACATCCAGTTATAATTCAGTTATAATTCAGTAGGACACATACACCATCATAAGATCCAATTCTCGACTCAAACTTCTCATAAAAATCCAAAGCAAATGATTCACTAACTCTCCCGACAAACAGCTCGACCAAGCTAACAGGAGCAGAGCATCTACATAATTATAAGGCCGCTGAAATCACGATCCAGAACTAGCTAAGAGCTAGCCATCCCAGATCCATTGATCAGAGCGTAAGCAGGCCAACCATATAGGCGAACCAACCAAACAACCGAGATAGCAACCAAAGAGAGACCGGGACCCACCTGCGTGACGTGGGCGAGGGTCTTGAGGCGGGCCGAGAAGGTTCCAGCTGGGACGAAGCCCTTGCCGCCGCCAAGGTCGTGCTCGAGCGTGAACTGCACCGCGTTGGACTCGCCTGCCCCGGGCAACGGCGCGTCCGCGGATCTGCGGCGGGAGGAGGAGACCGCCGGGGCCGCCGCCGGGGAGGGTGCGGAGGGGCGGGCGCCGACGCCCTCGAACTCGTCGTCGTCGTTGAGGAGGAGCTCGTCGGACCGGAAGGCGGCGGCGGCGGCAAGGGAGAGGGAGAGGAAGAGGAGAGCGGCGAGGACGAGCAGAGCGCGGCGCGGCGGTGCCATCGCGAGAAGGCGGAGGAAAAGGCTTGGAGTGGACTCGGGAGAGAGATCGGACAGATCGGTCGAGGTTTTCAAGCCAAAAAGTCCGTTTAACCTCGCAACTGTTCAATTTACCTCCCTTCTACTATATTATATACACGTTCGTGCCCGTTGCTATACTAAAAACACATGGATCGTACGATAAGATAATAATACTGTGAAATTAAATACCGACGTTAAAGTGAAATTTAATCTAAAAAGCAAAGTTCATGAAATTAAGACAGTCACGGAGAGAGCGTCGTCACAGACTCTTAAACTCTATTGTATAGACCTTTCCGTGATGTGGCTAATATAATGTTTTATATTGGTAGAAAAGAATCTCTGGTATCAATTTTTTTCGTACGTCATTAAATCCACGAATAAGTTCTGTCATATCTCTATACCATCCTGTACACTAGACGCTGGGAAATGCCACGGTAATTGACTTCAATGGTCTCATCCTTTTCTCCATCGTGCTTCATGGTTGTAATTATGCACGCACTTTTAAGATAGATTATACCTCCCGTCCTCTTTATCAAACTCTCGTGCACCTTCAGCAGTTTAATATAAGCATTTATGATCTACATACATTAAACCAATAAAAAGAAGGACATTGAAGTTGCCTATGTTTCATTGAGTATTATAACTTGCATCTATTATCACATCACACAAGAATTCATATGGTTAAAAAAGACATTCCATGTGCTTTCTTGATATCGAAACATTATAGATGAGCACAAGCTGATCCTTCCTAAGTGAAGATGGAATTTTTTTTGACAGATATAATTATGGCTCAATCACTTTCGGTATAAACATAATCTGAAAAAGACAACATACTTGTAGAATTAATCTTATAAGATTAATTAATACTATTGCACGTATTAATTATTATTAAAATAGATAACAAATGAATAGCGTAATGGATGAAAAGTACAGCACCTTTTTGGCACAATGTGAGCCGACGATGATTTTTCAGGTTTGTTATGCATCAAACCCTCTGTCAAACCATTACGCAACAATTCTTTTTTTTTTGATGGATACGCCGGCTTGTGAACATCAACCTTTTGCCACATTAGTGTCTTCCTTGATGGTACCGTTCTTCAACTGTAAGCCCATTGCATCCTTCCATTCATCCTTTATGGTGTCTTTCATCATGCTCTTGTCTGCCTTATACTCTGCATATGGCTTGTGTCACCACGGTCGGCTACCTGAGCACTATATATTGCAAAAACAAGGGTGCCACATGTAATACAATTCTTTATAATTGTAACCTCCAAACGCTAGGGGCTGAAAAAATCCTTGTTTTACCTGTCTAGCACGAGCTTCACTTCATAGTGTGCCTGATTGTCCCGATCACCGCACTCTTTGTGCTCCATATTGATTGTACCTATATCATCACCTGCGGAACCCTTTAGTCCTAACATCTCCATATCATAGTTTGCCTCCTCACCAGGTGGCTCATCGGCGGGGATATGTTCTTCAATTCCATGGTTTCCTGCACATAGTAATAAATGGAGATAACATAAAATCGTATTATCTCTTGTGTCGCTGTCGATGTTTTACCACCGATAGCCTACCACGAGGTTACCTGGGACAGTATGTTCGGGCTTCAGTATATGCGGAACTCGACGGTGAACGCAAGAGACAGTCAATTTATCCTGGTTCAGGCCCTCGACTGTAGTCGAGTAATAGCCCTACATTCAGTCGGCGTTAGCCTTTGCGTTGGATTGAGTGTGTGTTGTTGTGTTGTAGAAGTCGTGATCCCCCCTCTAGGAACACTACCCTCCTTTATATAGTCAGGAGGTCAGAATCCTAGTCGGTTTACAATGAGAGTTTCTAGTAGGATTACAGAATAATACTGCTAAGATTACATGGGGAGAAACCTAGTTAGACTAGATCTTCTCTCTTCCTTGTAGGGTATCCTGTGGGTCCCGCACCGACAAGCCTCCGAGCACTTCATGGTTGAGCTCTGGAAGCCTCGTCTTGTTCTTTCAGGTCTTGCCGAGCAGGAACAAGCGTCGTCCGAGTGCTTTCTTGAGCGAAACCATGTAGCGCTCTGTGAGATCTTCGCGTGGTGTGTACCTTTTGAAGAAAAAAGTACTCCCCTTTGGGTGTAGCCCCCGAGCCTCTTGCTATTTGGTACAAGGAGCGGGAGGGTCTTGTCTTAAAATCGCTCCGATCCTTCGTTGAAATATTCCCGAGCATGTACTCAGGTTCTTTATAAAAAGAACTCGAATATAGATCGGTCCGGCTTCTTTTTGTCATGAGCCCTTGAAGTAGTTTTGTCTTGTAGAAGTCTTCTTGGTGACGTGCGCTTTTTCGAAGAAAAAAGTGCACTCATTGAGTGTAGCCCCCAAGTCTCTTGCTATTTGGAACAAGGAGCTGGAGGGTCTTGAATCTTATGTTGTTTGTAAATTGCTGTCTTAAAGAAGCCTTTCGAGTGATGTGCGCTTTTTTGAAGAAAAAAGTGCACTGACTGAGTGTAGCCCCCGAGCCTCTTGCTGTTTGGAACAAAGAGTTGGAGGGTCTTGAGTCTGATTTGTTCAAGGAACTAAAATCTTCCCCTGTTGCAGCCTCTGAGCATTTATCCGGGTTCTTTGATTAAAAAAGAACTCGGATGCATTGTCTTGGCATATTCTCTGATAGTCTGATGTTTGTCAGGTGTAGTTGTATGGTGATGGTTGAGTGTAAATGTTGTCTGTTCACGGGTTGTACAACGTTGGCATATTCTTTCGAATATGCTCATCTTCGAGTACTGTTCCCTCTCGCCTGAGTCTTCTATTATTGAGTCATGTCTTTTCATTGTGTCTTTTGTTAGGCTTGTTTCGTTGGTACTCCTAGTCCATGTGCGCCGCTCCTTCGATCTATAAATACCTCCCGGAGTGCTTGTTTTCATCCATTGAATATTTTGTTGAAGCCTTCGTAGTCATGAATATGGTAGTTTGTGAAGTAAAGCAGCCCCGGGGCGTATTTTGTAGTTCCTGTGCGTCTTGTCGTAGCTAGAGGAAGTCTTGTGATAGGGATTAGAGGTAGACTAATCCCGCAGCAGCATTGTACTTGGAAGTACGTGGTGGTAGTTGGAAGAAGTCTTATGATGTGGGATGCGTTCCTTCATCCAGCAGTTCTGGGTTGATCTTCCTTATCCGCCCTGCGACTGTCCGGTGCAGATCAACACCTGATCATGCATCACGTCGGGCTTGGGTAGACAGATGCCTGCCGACTTCCCCTGGTCTATGTTGTCCCGCCGTGCTGCTGATTTCTGCCTTGGATGCACTGCGTCCGTCCTTTGAAGAAAACAGTGTAGCCGAGTGCGGTTTGTTCTATCGAGTAGCAATTTGGAGCACGTAGTCGTTCTAGAGCCTAGCTGTGTTTGGGTTCCTCTTTGCTACCTTGATTGTCGTAGTACCGAGTTCGTTGGGTCTTGTAAGATTTGTAATCTTCTATTTTTGAAGTCACATGTAATGGAAAGAATCTTGTCTTTTGAGTTGTTATTTTTTTTTCTGCTGTAGTCCTGGTTGTTCATGAGATTCCCAAGTTCTTTCCGTAAGAACCGGGTTCTTATGTTCCTTGTGAGGTAGCCCTTCGTTTCTTCATGGTTGACGGGTTGTTCTTGTAGTAATCTGATAACTCCGCCGTGGTGCTGGATGGATAGGTCTGAAATCTGTCCGTTGAATTGTACCGTTGTGTGGATTTGTGCCTTCCTTCATTTTAGCTGTGTTAGTAAATGGACCGTTGCGTTCTCACACCGTGCTTTAACAGGCCTGGTGGGCCGTTTTTATCGCTGTAAAATCTATTTAAAGACCTTTCATCTTCTTTTTCTTTACTACCCTGCTCTTGCCTTGAAACCCTAGCTTTCAGAAATCTGCTGCCGCCATTGTCGCCATCACCTGAGCGCCGCCGTCCTAGCCTTTTCGCTTCCGTTGGCATATGGGCAAGAAGAAAGCCACGAGCAAGTCCCAGACAGCCTTCGTGGACGAGGAGTCATCCCTTTCTTTGATCGAGAACCAAGAGTTCGTGGCCATGAGGGCTGCCCAGAAGGTTTGGTCGACTCCAACAACAACCGAAGACCAGCTTCGCGAGCTTGTCAGCGACGGCTTGATCCAAAGCAAGGACATTGCTGAATGGAGAGCTCCAGGCGAGCATCGGGTTCCTGCTCCGGGTCCTGGTGAGATCGTTCTTTTCGTCTCTTTCATCCATGCCGATCTTTGCCTTCCTGCTTCCGCCTTCCTTCATCTGTTTCTCAATTACTTTGGGGTTAGCTTGAACCATCTTGCTCCCAATACCGTCCTCCATCTCTCTATTTTTGTTCATCTTTGCGAAACTTTCCTTGGAATTCCCCCTTCTCTTTCTCTCTTTCGCTACTTCTTTCGTCTGAAACCCCAACCCCGTCGCGAAGACACCAGTGTTCTTGGTGGCTGCGGGATTCAGTTTCGCCAGGGTCTTAAGAACAAGTTCTTTGACTATGACCTGGTTGATTCTGTGAGGGATTGGCGAGCCGACTGGTTTTACGCCACCAATTTGATTCCTCCTCTTACTGTTCACTCTGGATCTGGTCCATTGGTTAATGATCGATAGGATAAGAACCCTGTGACGATGGCTGAGGTTCAGGCGATCCAACCATTTCTTGATAGGATAAGTACTCTAAAACAGCAGGGCTTGACCGGCTTCGGTATTGTCTCGAGCTTTCTTCGTCGTCGTGTTCAGCCTCTAAAGGAGCGAGAGAACTTTGGCTTCGAGTACTCTAGGGCTGAGGATCCTTCACACATGGTCCCTGCCCTTGAGTTGACCAACGAGGAGGTACTCGAGTGTCTCTAGAAGATACTGAAAGGAGCAAGCGTTGTCCCGCTTACTGTCTCCGAGTACTCTTCAAACAACCCGCCTCCAACTGTAAGTCATTTTCTCTTCGTGCGGGTACTTTCTGTATTTCTTTTGTTGTATCCATTTTTGCTTAATTTTCCTTGTCTTGTTGTTTTATTCTTTTCGTA